CCGACGCGCTCACAAATTTCTTCACTACCACTCCGCAGCCTGAAATGTTCAACGAAACAAGCTCAGTGTACAACTCCGGCGAGAACCCATCACCAGCTGAAACGGATAACAAAACGAACTCAGGGTACAATTCCGGTGAGGAATCCAACAACAATGGCGTTAAATCGCCTAAATCTGTCCTGCTTTTCAACTCTCTATCTGATTCCCAAGCTGACGCCGAAGCCGAGCCGACGATGTCATTTATCAGGCCAGACGATGCCGTTTTGAACGGGAACGATAATTTCTCAGACTTCTCGGTGTTTTCGGCTGACGATGACTTGTTTCCCCCGTTTGTCGTACCCGATTTGTTTGACCAAACAGGTTTTCCGGATAGCGTTTTCGGGTTCGAGGATTTTGATTGTTGCGGTGGTTTGTTCTCAGGGTCAAGTAATGATTACCGGGACGGATCTTCAATGTTGCAAACGGATGATTACTTTCAAGATTTTGGAGATATATTCGGGTCGGATCCTCTTGTGGCTCTTTGAACTCTGAAGAGGCTGAAAACCCTTTTGCTGATTTCTTGGCAGTTTTGATAGCGGGACATATGAAATGTCAATCCTATTCTTCGTGGATTTTTTTTTTTTTTCATTTTTTTGCTTTATTTAATTTTCTGTTTTATTATGAAGGGAGTTCATTAATTTATCAGTACTTAGTAGATGATATTTTTACATAATTATTGTTATGTCGGATGGAAGTCACATGATTTGGAAAGTCGTGAATTAGGTAGAAGAATGAAATAAGATGACTCATAATCTAAAATACACTGTCACGCTCGTTTTATCACATGCTCTTTCTTTAAAGTGATAATTTAATTCAATGCAATGTAAAATAGTTTTAAAAGGAACTAGAAAATATAAATTGCTCGGGCTTGTGCTAATTATGATGCCTCTAACGATGTTTTCGTTTGGGACAAACAAAATCACAAATTGTCCTTGTGGACAACTTTAGTTTGTTCTTTTTTCCAATGCAATGTTCTTCCACCTTTGAGACCTCTTGTCTTCTCGTGGATTCATTTGTTAGTCGATCAAAATGCAATTGGAACAAAACCAATCACATCAAAATTATTTGCGTCTAGGTGCACTTTTTAAAATACTGATTACATGAGACCTTTTGTCTTCTTGTGAATTCATTTGTTAGTCAATCAAAGTGCAATTGGAACAAGACCAACCCACCAAAAATATTTTATACCAATTCAAAGATTGCAATTGAACATTTGAATATAAAAATTTCCTTATACGTTTAATATAACATCTTTTTTAAAAAAAATAAAACTTTGAACATCATCAAAAATAAAAAGTTCTATATGAGTGATTTTACTTAAAACTTTAGTCAAATATGCTTAAAGCATTTCCGAGAGAGTTTTAAAATTTAGTTGGGGATAATCTTCAAATTCTAAACCAAATTTTAACACAATCATGCTACAATGCCAAAATAATTGACACACTCTTGACATGATACCACGTGGCGATATATCATTGGACTGTTTAAAACACATTCATCTTTTCCATCAAATCATATTTTCGCCACATAGAATTTTATCAACCCTTATGTCATAATTCATTTGGCAAAGTGGTTTAATCCATTTTAACATACTCCAACAAACTCTCAATTTTAAACTATTTATTTTACATTTTTCAAACTCTCTCTCTCTCTCTCTCTCTCTCCATAAATTCAAAATGAGGAAAAACAATAATCCCCCAGTTTTTAGGACACGTTTGACATGACTTTTACTTCCTAGAGAAGAACTTTTGGAAACATTTGTCTTTATTTTTATTTGGAAACTAATTTTTAAAGGTATTTTCTATTCCGAAAGTGTTTTTTTTAGAGAAAACCACATTGTACCAACTTTTTCCAAAAACTCTTCAACTATTGGAAATACTTTTATAAAACTAGTCCAACGGGTTCAAAAGCAATTTTTTGATCTTAAAAACTCATTTTAACTTTTCAAAAATAATGCCAACAGCCCTTAATAGATTTTCATAAAAGAATAATGCTCATTGGACATGGACAATGACAGAAATGGGGAAGACATGGTGGTATTGTAGACAATGATTGGGTGTTGTGTGTTTTTTTTTTTTTTTTNACCCCGTCCCATTGCCATCCCTACTCGTGAATTCATTTGTTAGTCAATCAAAATGCAATTGGAACAAAACCAATCCCATCAAAATTATTTGCGTCTAGGTGCACTTTTTAAAACACTGATTATATGAGACCTCTTGTCTTCTTGTGGATTCATTTGTTAGTCAATCAAAGTGCAATTGGAACAAGACCAACCCACCAAAAATATTTTATACCAATTCAAAGATTGCAATTGAACATTTGAATATAAAAATTTACTTATACGTTTAATATAACTTCTTTTTAAAAAAAAAAATAAATTCTGAACATAATCAAAAATAAAAAGTTCTATATGAGTGATTTTACTTAAATCTCTCTCTCTATATATATATATATATATTCAAAATGAGGAAAAACAATAATCCCCGTATGGTTTTACTAAAAATCAGTTTTTAGGACAAGTTTGACATAACTTTTACTTCATGTAGAAGAACTTTTGGAAAAAATTGTCTTTATTTTTATTTGGAAACTAATTTTTAAAAATATTTTCTATTCCGAAAGTGTTTTTTTTTTTTGAGAAAACCACATTTGACCAACTTTTTCAAAAACTCTTCCAACTATTGGAAATACTTTTATAAAACTAGTCCAACGGGTTCAAAAGCAATTTTTTGATCTTAAAAACTTATTTTAATTTTTCAAAAATCATGCCAACAGGCCCTTAATAGATTTTCATAAAAGAATAATGCTCATTGGACATGGACAATGACAGAAATGGGGGAGACATGGTGGTATTGTAGACAATGTGCGGGTGTTGTTTTTTTTTTTTTTAAACTATACAATCATATATTGATACGTGTCCCTTCTATCATCAAATCTGTCACCGTAGCATAACTCTTCATAAAATTTGATGAAATGAATAATTAAAAATTTGATAAAAGTTATGGATCTCAGAAAATATAAAATAAAAATTAATTATTAATTTTACCTTTATTTTCATAGTCGAAGGACCCAAAATTTCAATTTTCCCATTCTTTTGCAGGATTGTGCCACTTGAATTGCAACAGTTCACTCTAAAACGCACAATTTTCACAAAGATTTAGTGAAGGCCCAAATGACAAGAATTTTTACGACAGTAATCAGCTGTTTGATAAAAAAATCATTCTAGTGGTCCCTTGATGAGCTGGTGATTAAGTTATGTCACACATTTGTACATACAACTTGGCCCTTTCAGCGGCTGCCCCATCACTCTCTCTTGCCTTATTCTGTAACAATATGTTCCGTAGGGTCGATTAGACAATACAAGATAGTTGCAATGACCAAATTATCTCACATTGCTTGTAAAAATCTTATGCCAGGAATTCACTAGCACTTTAGACATCATTTCTTTACAAGTCAATTTTAAATAAATGTTATAGTATTAAAAAGAAAAATATAGTTACTATTCTATTGTTAGTCTTTTTTACAGTATTGTGTAATATACGCTCGTTTGTATTTAATAATGTCAAATTATAGTGACCATTATTCTGTATACACGAGAACCGTGAAGGGTGAAGTTCTTTTTCTTAACATTGAAGAAAAGCTTAAGTGAAATAGAGGTATTTATGGTACAATTATGTTTGTAAATGGATCGGATATAGACTGAATATGTCCATATTTGATTCACCCCGATAAGAATAATTTATGGATGCGATCCGATAATCCAACTGCATTTTAATTTTTAAATACATATCCGATTTGCTATGTTATCGGATATGCAATCCAAAATTCAAAAAAATTAGGAAGATAAAACTAATGTTGAAATTATCTTATTATTTAGGCCTATTTTTTTAAACCAATAATGCCCAAATAGTGAAAAATCAAAGCAATGGCATGCCCCCTATTAATAACTTATTCCTTTAGCTTCTTTATTTTATGAAAATCGATTTGGGATGACTTATAACTTTTTGAAAAGCAAAAGAAAACCCTTACAAACAATTGATTGTGTACGGGTGGATATACCTTTTTTAATGTTTTGAATCCGATGATTTTTTTATTCTCATTTATTTATTTTAGTGACAAAAACATGCCATAAAAATATTTAATCGACTCGACTATTTATAACAAATTGGATTTGGTTGTTATCGGATCGACTTGACTTATATCTATTTTCTCAATTTAGTTAACATATTATCGAATTCAGATCTTGATCGAATTATCAAATCGAGACTCTAAATCTCTAAATTCGTCTCCCATTAGTTGCATCGGATTCTGATTGAATTTGAATAAAAATCCAATCCATTGACAGCTTTAGATACAATGGATCAATGAAGAAAAAAATTGTTATTTTCTCTACATCTTTGGTTAAAGGATTCTAGTCAACAAATTATTTTTGTTCAATGACAAAATGTTTATAAAAATATTAGTAAAATGAGGATGTTGAATAAAATATATAGTCATATAATAATAAATAAAACAAGAAATAGGGATATATATATATATATATA